CCCAGTCACCATTTCTGTCGATTTCAAGCCATATTGGAACAAGCATTGGTTGTATGGGGGTCAAAGGTCCTTTGTTGGTGATGGCAGTGTCAGCACGAGTCCTTCCGCGGCTCGGTCCGCAGGAGCCGCGGTCCGCGTGGCGGTGGCTACTCGGTGCGTTCGCTCGGCTGAGGTTGGACCTGCTTTCGGGCCCACTGTTTCTTCTGGAGGTGCATCCTTTAGACACGGAGGATGGATGAGGATGGAGCATCGGAGCATCCAGACGAAGCATCAGCGACAGATCGAAAGAGGATCGCCGGACAGGTGAGTCGCATCCACGACCCCGTCGACGTCCATGCATCCATTGTTCAACAACCTAGTAGGCATGCAAGTAAAATACTGGGGCAATGGATGTTTCACGATGTTTTCTCAAGTCCCTTTCCGGATGGAGAACTTGTTTTTTTTTTCCATGTCCTGTTTCGTCTCGATCTTCCACTTCTTCCACCAGGATCTTCCATGTCTCGACTCGTGGTTTCCGGAGTGGTCGAGCCCTTCCCGTCGAGTGATCGACGAGCCATGCGGCGGAGTGGTGAAAGCCACCAGGAACCCTCCACAGCGCTCTGGATGATGGTCTCCTTGCCCTTCTTAGAAGGATCTAAGGGGCTTTCCAGGGAGTAATTCCTGAGCTGAGCTTGTAGGCACAGGGTGAACACGGCATGCTTGAGGGGATTGTGGATAGACTGACCCGGTCAGGGCATTCCGATATTGTACGATGCAAACTTTCTGCCTTCTGCCTGGTTCTGTGGATGAAAAGGCAAAGAATGTGTTGCGTTGGAAAGAAACAGGTATATGTTACGTACTATTTACCGATATTTGCAGAATATAGCCTGTTGGGTGAAAAGCCTATCACTCTTATCCAACAGTAACGATAGACTTCTCAAACCGAGCGAAGAACGACCCGTCGCCCCAAACCCTGCCCCGGTCGACCGGTTCCGTCCAGGTGCCTTCAGCGGGCCCAGAGGGGCTCCGCGACGACGGTGACGGAGGTGCGAAGGGAAGATCCGAAGCGGGTGGGGTCGAATGGAACGAACGGTTCGATGAATGGACAGATGTTAGCTGCTAGCTTTTTGACAAACAAGAGAGCACCAGAACCAGATAGCATGTGTTGAAGCACTTTTAACCTTGAAATCTGTCTCCGAATGTCACGTGATGTCTCTACAAGTCAAAAAGGATCACAAAACCATCGGCCACGAAAGAACTGATGACGCAGCGTGACGTCCAGGCCCACGACGCAAGCAAGTTGCCGATTCGGAAACATCGGGTGCGCCGGGGGCACTTGTGCAGTTCATTGCCCACCTGAGAGAGAGAGAGAGAGAGAGCCCTGAACCTGTGACATTCGTCTCCCACTTGGAAGCTGCCGTGTACAGCGACAGGTAGCGGCAGGGCCGTGAGTGCAGTGTTTGGCAGGTAGCGGCTGTTGGATGTTGCACAAATGGTTTGTTTCATGCCGATCTTCCGCAACTGCCACAGGGATTGGTTGTGTGACATGGTCTTTGTTGGAAGTCACATTCTGTGAAACACACCTCTCGGAGCTGACACTGAAACGCATCTTTTGAGTCTTTAGGTCCTGTTTGCTGGTCTTCACTTTGCATTTGCATTTTCTGACCCTTGCTCAAGTTGGTGCCTTGCACTAAACTGTAACGCTTCCCGCGCTCACTGTACTCAACGTTGAGACGATACTACTCCAACTACTACCATCGACGACACTACGACTCCGGTCTCTACAGACTCGATGATCGAGTCTCGTCCGCATTCGTGGCGCATGGTGATCCGATGCGCGTCCGATGCGCGTCCGATGCGGTGTTCGGGTCGTTTGTTACTATAAGTGGTTTTCTTGCTACTATAGTCGATGGCCTCGGGCCCCTATAGTAGCCATGGCCTCCAACCTAGCTTCTTGTTCTTAGAAGATTCGAATTCGGGTAGCATGAGAACCCGCGAAACCTGATACAATATTGGTTGAGAAGCTGGGACAGTGTCGAGTGCAATTGGAGCGCCTCGTAGCTGGACAATGAATGACAAAGGACGACAAAGGACAAGGTTGGAGCGAGTGGATTCATGTTGATTTCAACCCAGCAATCGCTTCATTCAGGTTTGATGCTGATTGTGTCAAAGCTCTTAAGGCTTCTCGTTCAGGGGGTTCAGGGGAAGAAGATCCAGCACGACCTGTACCGGTAAACATCTAGTCGCCCAAGATGCGCGTTCGCGAGGAAGCACTCTATATGACTTGGGAGATCCTGGCTGCTGCCAAGCTGGAGATCGGCGTGTTCTTCCTGGCGGCTCTCCTTCACTTCTTGCTCTTCAGTAACCGCGCGCCGGTGAAACTGAGCTCCAAGGCGTGTTCCGCTCCACGACACCCCGTCGCGGTGGGATGGATAGAGAGTGATGGATTGAGATAGATCGAGGATGAACAAATCGATCACTGATGAGTGCATCAAAAAGACACACATTTGCCAATCTATGTCAATTCCCTGATAGTCCCTGATGTTTGTTGCAGCAACCATCCCAAACAATCTGGTTTTCTCGAAGAAGAAGCCGTCGGCAAGAAGGCCAAGTTGGATGTGGAGAAGTCTGAGAAGAACAATGAGAAGACGGCAGAAAAGACCACGATTGCACGCGCGTTGCGGCCGATGCTCCGTTCAGGACCATTTATATATGACATATATATGACATATGAAATACCTATGCCAATATACAATATGAATTCATATCATATATCCAAGAATTCCTGTTGTGACAGTGAAGGGAGTGCTGGCCGACCACAAGCAGAATGCTGGTGATGACCCAGTGTCTCCCACGCTCCACAGGAACCTCCAAGGCGACCTTCGAGGCCGAGCTGCGCGCGACCTTGACGAAGGTGCCGGCGAGCGAGCGGCAGAAGACGCTGGCCACCGCGCTGGAGAGTGGCTCGGAGCTGTTTGGGATACAACGAGTGGATCCACAGTTTGCTTGGCTCAGATGGGAGGGTTGAAGAATTCGGATCCACAGTTTATCCATATTTAGCCCTTTTTTAAAGTGTGTGGAACATTTTAATTTTATGCCTTCAAATTCTGTTCGTATTGTTTGAAGTGGGGAGGAAAGAACGATCAGGTGGGTTGTGGATAGGCTTCTGAGATACCGCCAGGTTATTGTTTGTGGATGTCCACTCTTTCTCCTTGTTTCCTCTGTCAACCGACAACCGCTGTTGAACGCAATGTTTAAGTCGACAGAGTGTCCAAAACACATAGTAGCGTCCGATCGCTCCGTTCGTAGTAAGGCCAGGAGCCCCGTTCGTAGCGTCCTTGCTCCTAATATGACAAACGCCCACAGTTCCCAAACCTTCGCCTCCTTGGATTGCATAGAACCTGCAACAAAACATCACTACCCCCGGAGCAAAGAAACGCACAAGGACCAAGAGCCCAAGAGCGCAAGCAACGCACACAAGCCCGGGCGAAGTACTACCTTTTCATTTCGATCAAATAAAATATATGGTCTAACTATTTATTATTTTAGTCGGACATCTTCGAACCCTTAAGATCCACACAGACTTCCAGCAAGTCGCTTGGTGCCAAAAGCCTCGACTTTCACTCTTCCACCCACTTTTCTTTTCCATCCATGGGGCACATCATATTCCCGACCAAGCAGACCAATAGGTCATCCAGTCTCAACCCAGGCCGGAGGACAATCGCTCGTAGCTTCCCCCGCGGTGTCTCCGAGGCTTAGGACGTCAAGTGGAGCCCGAGCTCCTCAGCGCCATGCGCTCCGTGACTGGAGCGGTCACCGAGCTGCGCCTGGCGGAGCAGCTGCTCCGGGGCGCCTTGGACACCACGACCTGACCACTGGGTTTCTGGGTCGCCCCCCAATGGCTTGCTTGGGTGAGGCGGACTGAAGGTCTCTTTGGCTTCTGGAGGTGTTTTTTGGGTCCAAACATGCGAAATATGTGATGTGTGGAGGAGGGGGGGTGCAGTGGATGACCGGCACGGAGCTGCATGTTGAGGTGGGGTGAAGTTCTCAGCTGTTTGTTTTGCTTTGTGACCATGGGGGGAGGATCCGGTTTTATGACCTTCCACATATCACCTCTCAGGCTACTTGTCGGTGCGCAGCCGCACAGACTTTGAAGAGCTGCTGCGCGACGTGGAGAAGGCGCAGACGCAGAAAGGCGAGCTGCTGCCCAATGGCATCGCGGTTTTGGCGGTGCAGTTCGCCTTGGCAGGGGCCGCTGGGTCGTTTCCATCGGTTTTTGGATTGTCGTCCAGTCTGGTGGGCGGAGTCGTCGAGAGTCGGACGTTTGGTCTTTCGGTTGACGACGCGGTGGTGGAAGAAAGTTCAAAGCAGAGAGCCGCTTTTTGAGCCTTTTTCTAGCCTGCTTGGCTTAGCTGTGAGACATGGCAAGCAGAGAAGGAAAAGGGTGAAGACACCTGCAACCAGCCGCCGGGTTGGCGATCCTTTTGCAATCCTGCTCGATCCTCAGGAGAACTTGGAGGCTGCGTTGGCACGCCTTCCAGGCATTGCCGGTGAAGCACGCACCACGAACGGAAGCACGAAGTCCAATTGGGAGTTTCCAGGCAGAACATATAGGCCGCAAAAAGAACAGGTGCTGAACCCAGCGAAAGAACGCGAAGATCCACCTGATGGGACTTATGTGTGCCAACATGACACGTTGAAAGAAACAGAATACACCCCAACATTGGAACTCCTGCATGGTTTGATTTTTCTTCGGTTTTTACACCCAAACGCGGATTTGACCGCTGGGAACGCTCAGAACTCCGTCGAAGTGGAACTGAGCAGGGTGCGTTGGTGCACAAGCACCAAGGTGCGGTCGTAAGGCGTTGACTCGGCGGTTCGGCGCAAGGTTGTTGGACAAGGTGATGACCGAGTTTTTGCCTTTGATCGACGACCCCCACGCGATCCACGTGTGCTTCCACCGCATCCTCGATACACTGGTGAAGAGCGATTCCACACACGCTTGGGAGGTTCTGAAGCGGATGGAGGCGGCCAAGGTGCCTCCAAACAATGTGACCTGTTCCATCCTGCTGAAAGGCGTTCACAAAGAGATGAAGGACGGAAGAACCAGACTGACATGGGACAAAACTCAACACAAGAACCAGACCTGGACGTCCGTCATAGTCGTGGAGATCTCTCAATGCTGGTGTTGTGGTTGACGTATGTTGACCTATTTTCTGCAAAAGCGGATTGTAGGGGTAAAAGCGGACAAAAGGTCGGCATCAGCTTTTATTGTTGGTCATGATGACGCGCTACGAAGTATACTCATGGAACTTCTGAAGACGTTCCGCCGAAGTGAAGCGGGACGGTTCTTTCCCAAACACTCCATGTATGGCATATATGCCTACATTGGGGTGGTTCGGGGGTCAATGTAGGCATATATGGCCTGCATCGACGCGTTTTTCAGGAGGACTACTTGAAGAAAGTCATGGCAGTCATTGACAACCGAGCGGTCAAGGAGATGGATGAGGTGCTCTTGGGCTCCCTCTACGAGGCTTGCATTCGATGTGGCCAGGCCCGGTGGGCTTCAAACCGGAGTGTCACAACAGGCAGCAACCGATCGATCCGGCGAGCGGGTCCCTTCGAGGTGAAGAAGCTGCTGAACTACGTGCAGAAGCTCCGCGAGGAGAGTGGATTGGTCACCATTCGCAGCGCTCACACCGTAGGATCCATCATCCGTGCCCATGGAGTCAATGAGGACGACGGGGAATCTGGGGGATCGGGGGAGCTTAGGCTTAGGCGAGCCTTGTCCCAACGACCCGCCGGCCGTTCCGGAGCATGTTCCCAACAAAACAGCCAGTGCGTGGTGTTTTGAGAGTCCATGGACCAATCTGGAGGGCACCATGGGGGCTCAAGGGAGGAAGTGAGAGATGAAGGGCAAAAAGGCAGACGGGAATCCCGTCGATGACTGGTGCGGTTGTGATGTCATGTTCATGGCGAAGAGAGTTAGCTGTGTCCTAAAATGTCATGGTCGTTATAGCTATTGAGTTCAGACATGTTCAGACATGCACGTGGACTTTGTTCGGTGTCCGATATATGCAGAATGAACACGCTGCTCTTCTCCTTTTGTGCAGGACCTGGACGGTGTTTGGACCACTTGGAACAACATGAAATCACAGGGAGTGGTGCCCAGCCGGATTACTCTTGGATGCATGGTCGAAGCATTGGCTTCCAACAACGATGCTGATGGTGCCTTGGAATGCCACTCTAGAATGGTCCAAGCTTCGCTTCGCTTCGCTTTCACTGCAGGCTTTCCTTCGTTTCACTTGGCCGGTTTGCCAACTGCGTGTCTTGTGTCTTCTGCGCGAGGTGCGTATGAGGTGATTCAAGAGGCGCTGGCCGATCCGCAGACCGCGAACTTGGTGAATGCTGTAACCTATTCCTCAGTGCTGAAGAGCTTCAACCACCAGAAACGCTTCCACCGAGTCTGGGATCCTTGGACCGATCTGGGATCTGTGTCCTATCCACTCGTTCCAGTCGTCGGGACAACCCGAAACCGATTTCGACATGAAAGGCATAGAGCCGCAGCATTCTTGAAGGAACAAAACGAATAGCTCAGCGCTTGAGACTTTGCGGCCTTTGCGGCTTTTGCGGCCTTCGGCCTTCTTTCTTTCTCCTTTTTTTTCGGTTGTTCTTTCGCCTTCTTCTCCTCCTTTCTCAGGACGTTTATGACGAGATGATCCGCCAGAAGGTGGAGTTCTCCGTGACGACCTACAATGCTTTGCTGGACGTGTGCGCTCGCAGCGGAGAGATCGCCCGTGCCGAGCCCCTTCTGAAGGACATGGCCCAGCAAGGCGCCCCGTAAAGCGGGGAGTTCCGTGGGGAGGCGGAGGTTTTGGTCTCTATGCCGGGACGAGACTGATCTATTTCGTTAAAGGAGACACTGTCGAACGAACAGTGTCACTGAGAGATGTCGCAGAATCTGCCATGTTTCTCGGGCAATGACGTCATTATTTAGACTTTTTGGCGAGACCCTCATATCTGATCTACCATCTAATGAGTCATAGTCCACCATGATCGTCCAGTCTCGCTCCAGTCGTCGCAAAATCCTCATCCGTCGCATTTCCACTCTCTTCGCTCTCTGAGAGAGGTATCTCACCCAACATCATCACTTACGGGACCGTGATCAAGGCCTATTGCTCCGCGAATCGCTTGGACCAGGCCTTCGCCGTTCTCTCCGACGCTTCGCTTCAGAACATGTCAGAACACACATCCACCCCAAGAGGGCCGTGCGCCATCGGTTTGCCACGCCGGACTGGTCCTATCGGTCCTTTGCTTTCCGAGCTCGGGCGGTCCATCGGTGCGTACGGCCGTAGCGGCGCGCTGAGGAGATGCAGGCGAATACCGATCTTCACCCCGATGAAGTGACGTACAACACACTCCTGGACGGCTGCGCACGGTATGGCCTCTTTGATCGTGGGCTGGAAGTGCTAGCAGAGACTTGGAGAGATCGTAGTGCTCGCACGTTCCTTTCATGCTCTTTGAGCATGTTTGTGAAGCAAGATTGATCAAACATGCCATGTACTTCGTTGCGAAACAGTGGTGCAACAGCCATGTAACTCTTGAATCAATGCACCAGCCATTCTATCTCAGTTGTTTCACCGCACCAAACGGTAAAGCTACGGTAAGCTTCGGTCTCCAATGTTTGCCCCAAAACGCTTCGATCCTCGAAGGACATGAGGAGAGCTGGCGTTGCACCGAGCAATTACACCTTGTCGGTGATCGCCAAGTTGGCCAATCGAAGCAAGAAGCCCAAGATGGCCTTTGAAATGGTGGAGGATTTGCGTCTTTCGACAAAGACAAACCGGTTTTTGGTGCTCTTTTGGTTGATCAGTCTACTTTCAGTCTACTTTAGGTGGAAATTGAACCAGTTCGATGATTCATCCGCCAGCATGGGAAGGATTTTTTTAGGTTCTAGTTCTCGCAGGTCTTTGGACGATCAATTTGGGTGCCGCTAGTGGTGCCGCTGTCTCATGAGCTGTGGCGGTCTGAGTCTGATCTGTACCAAGGCAATGAGTTTGGAATCAAGCTCAACATGCACGTCCCTGGGCCTCGATTCAGTGCATGAATTTGCCTGATGTGTTCTGCTTGAAAAATGGACCCCGGATCTGGGGCAGGGCCTTCCGTTTTGCACGAAGGCCCTTGGGTTGTTGAAGCCGCTGCTTTGCACGCTCAACCCAGAAATCATCACCAATCTAAACGTCAGCTAAAAGAATTGTACCCAACAAACAATCCAACACATCCAGACGGTGAACTCTTGTGCTTGCGGACACATCCAGACCAGTACAGTGTTTGAGGTCTACAACAATCTCATCCATGCTGCGACCTGTGACAATGACATGGCCAAAGCACAGGAGACCTTTGCCGCCTGGCAAGCGTGGCCGTTCCACTCGCTGCTTCGTTCGCTCTCGGAAGCGTAGATCCTACCGGAGGGGTTGGGTATTGGAAGGGATCCAACATGATCATCATGATCCAACCAATCATTGCTTCCACCCAAACTCCGGTGCGATGGCATTCCGCTTCCACCTGGTCCGCCCGGAACGAGACAGACCGAACGAAGAAGCGGCGGTGGGTCGGGTCATCCGTCATCCCTCGGCCAAGACGTGGGGGTTTCGTTTCAGCCGTAACTAATGGAGCAAGAAGCTATTAGGAACAAGTGCATTGCTTCTAGTAACAAGTGCCTTACTAGTAGTAACAAGAAGCTATTAGAAGCTATTAGGAACAAGTCGTGATGTCTTTGAAGCTTCTTAAGTTGAAAAGCCCGCTTTGATTTGTGCTTCTGGAGCTGCCTGTTGAGGTCCACTACGGTGGATCTCACAGTAAGAATAAAGCGTTCCCCTAGAAGTCCAAAGACAATTTCTGGACCGGCTGAAGTAAAGGATATTCCTTTTCGGGTCACCTAGAGACCATTCTTTATCTAGTCTTTGACTCTCAGGGTTTCTAGTTTAAACTATAGAAGCTACCTCCTTTCGTTCCCCGAAGACCTCGAGGCGACGATGCTGGGCCACAGGGTGCGGCCCGACGGGAGCCACGGCGAAGATCGTGGATGTCGGACCAGACACGACTGATGGGGCCAAACGCTGGCAAGCTTGAGTTACAACATGTTACAACAGTCATAGATGGGACTGAGAAACGGCGCTAGAAGAGTGATGTGACCTGGTCAACTTTCCACCTAATAAGGAGATCCTACACTTTGCTCCTGCGATTCTGCGTCACCCGCAAGTCGCACGTGCCAGCGGTGGCCCTGTTGCGTACAGCCATCGGTTTGCAGACCGACTCGCTGCAGACCGAGTCCTTGCACCCAGCGCTGTGCAAGGCCGGAAGCTAGCGGCGACCGTCGCCTCTCCCGGGTCCAACGGATGTTCCACTTGGATTTCGTTGGGGCCCAAAACGGAGGAGTTTCGAACAACGAGCGAGCGAGCGAAATGAACATCAACGAGAATATCTGAGCACTGCTTAGCAGTTCGGTTTTCTAACTTCAGGTTCTTATGACGTCGATCTCCTGGGCCAGCGCACCCTTGCGTGGCAACAGCGCCTTGCAAGAGGAGGCGTCCGACGCGAAGAGCGGCCAACACGCTGGCAAGCTTGAGTTACCACAGTTGCAAGTAGTTATGGGATGCTACGGGCAAGCCCCGACATAGTCATTGATTCATATCTGAATAATTCATTCGTTTGCGGGGACCATATATCAACGCCTTCCTAGCTGCTAGACATGGAAATACACGCCTACCTTTTTGGTATTTGTCAATAATTCGTGATTTCGATGTTCCTGGTCCTTTTGGAGGATGCCTGTCGGGTCTGGAGCCGCCTGCTCGTGACGCACACCGCGGTCGCCTCGAATAGGCACCCGCGGGGTGCGAGAGCGCAGGTGATCCACGACGTCTTGGACTTCCTGTCGCGAAACCAAAGCGCCTTGAGATCTGATTTCTGCAGTTTGCCACAGCTCACGGCAGAGGTGCAGAAGGCGGTGCCATCGCTGAAGCTGCCGAAATCCACCAGTAACAGGATCTTCAGCTAGGACATACACCAGTGGCCAAGGCTGAGCCCCTCTCGCTTGGATGTAAACTTATGAGGAGGATAGAATCTGTGGGTGTTTGTGTGGAGATGGTTGTTCCATGCGTTTCTAATTTCAAGGGAGGGCAGGCAGAGCCAGTGGCGCCTCGCTTGCTGCGCACAACAGATGCGCACGTCACGACTCGACCACCTGAAGCGACAGTTCGGAGGTTTGAGTTCGCAATTCACGTCGAGGCACCGACCCAAAAAGGCCGCGAGACGATGTACCGACCGGTGAAGCTCGGTGCTCTCATCATCTGAGTGGAGGACATATAAGATATTATATACCAGGACCCTCCAAGGGGTCCAATGGACTACCCCACACTACCTATAGGCTTCCATTGGGCACCCCTTGGAGGGTCCAGGTAATAGATCATATATATCACATGCATATATATATATAGTCTCACATGGATTGCTTAGTCGACCGACCAGTGGGGTGTTGACATTAGTCGACATTCATGAGTGCCTTCTTTCGTGATGCATCTTCAGATGAGTGCTGCCAGGTACGGCAACCCAAACTCAGTTCTTCAAACAGTCCAAAGAAGGCGGGGTTTTTGCTGCGGAGACCGGACCCCCGGTCGGACCGAGACCTGGGTTTGGACAACGAACGGACAAACAGTCACGCCTTCGAGCTTCTCACCTCCGGCGACGTCCGAGGCTGAGACCATGGCTCAACCTCCACCTCCCAGGCCCTCAGGCGGAGACGAGACGACGAGAGTGAGACGAGAATTCGTCGAGAGATTCGTGAGATGAGAAGGTTCATCGTCCCCACTTTTGATCCATCCTCTGTAGCATCCTTTAGCTAGGTGAGAGTCTGAGTTGGAGAAAAACATCGTCGCAAATCCGCAGTTGTTGGTTTAGCGGATGTGGAGTTCACCGGAAACTGAGTGTTGGAGTGATGGAGTTCGAACAGTCCAACGTTCTGCCACTCGTCCCTTCAGTGGCGAGCGAGCGAGCGAGCGTGCTCGCCGTGCTCCGAACCACACCACCTTTTCGATCCATCACTACCTACCGTGGGTAGGTTACTTCGAAAAGAAGGGCGAGGTCCACGAGCTACGGCAACTTCTCAGAGGCGAAGAGACGGGTCGACTCGACCCGGCGGTTGACCGCACCGGCGGTTGACCGCACCGGGCCGAAGCCCGTGCTGTTCGGGTGGTCTGGACCGAGAGACGCCAGTCGAGATCAGGTGCCTCCGCAGAACGAGATCAGCAGAAAAAGAGAGATGCCATCAAGAAGGCTGCGGGCAAAAGCAAACCGAACTGAGAAGGCTGCAGCGAGAAAGCAAACGTCAGACAAACTGCATGTAGAGGTTCATTCTTCTCCGTGTTTCAGTGTGCCTTTAATTATAAAGGAAGATATACCGAGACCATCCGGATGACCTGCAAATATGTGTTTAACAAAAACATGAAGCAGAAACGGATGCTCCCCTCACCTTTCTCGCGCTTTTCCTTGCGCGACCACACGCCATGTGCGCGATGGCAGCGCACATCCCATCCGCCCATCCGCCCATCCGCCCATCGCCAGGTCATTGCCTACATGACTTTGGGCATCGATGTGTCACCTCTCTTCAGCGAGATGGTCATGGCCGGACGGCTGGGTCGGTCGCTGTGACCGGTCAACGGCGATGGCCGTGTGCGGACAACTCCCCACCAACTGAGGGGGGGCAACGAGTCCCTTGTGCTTACGAACACGACTATAGAAGCTCATTGAACTTGGAGCTTTGAGAGAGTTCAGAAAACCTTCGAGCTTTTGATTGCATGCAACGTCCATCTCCACCTATTTTGAAGGGCATTGATTGGTTTGCGTTTCTTCAATGAATGGACTCTTTTCAGTTAACAACGAAGTATACTTAATGGTTACTTCTTTCGGCGCTGGCAGGCAAGTGCCACGACAGATCTGGTGCAAAAGAAGATGGCGCCTTGGCAGGGAATGCCTTTTGAGTTTCGGCCGAACTCGCCTACGATGGCATCTTTGTCGATCTGCCAGCACGCAGCACGTGTCGCTGGAGTTTTTAATGCAAGATCGCTGGATCGCAGGAGTACCCCTGACATACTACGTTTCGCTTGCAGCCACAATTCATTTTTATTTCATACACACAACACAGAAAGAACACGCTATAATCCGCTATAAGCTTCAACCACGTATTACTAGTATAGGGTCCCTAGAAGTCGAACCACCATTGTTTTAATAGCCTGAATCCGGAACAACCATTGTTTCACTAAGGGTTTTACACTACAAAACCAGATCAAAAATGGTCTTTAAAATGGTCGACTTGACTTCCAGGATAGTGTCCCGCCTGTTCCTGGGAGCGAGAACCCATGCGGTGGACCGAACGAAGCACAGGTGCTTCTTTTCCAAAACGGTCGAACCCCGGTCGCTGTCGTCCACCGGTTGGACGTATAGACTCGAGTCACGTCACGTCACCCTAAGAGCGATGGGTGACCTGCCTAGAAGAGAGGTGTAAGCCTCCCAGTCCGTTCGTGATCCGGGATCGAGGTGTATTTGTATTTGGTGAACTACGCAGAGAGCAACTCGGACTTGGCGATCCTCGCCATCAACACGCTCCAGAAGGCGGGTGGGCCCCTGGTCGCGGTCGCGATGGTCGACACGACCAAGAGCTTCTCATGAAGGTTCCCTTTTAATTGTTCACAACTCGAATTCAGCCATTTCGGGTTCAGCTCAAGATCCAATCAACATCGAATATCATCGAATGCAAGGTCGAAGCTCACAGTGGATCCGCACTTTGGACATGATCAAAAACGGAACAACCATTGAAAACGAAGCAAAATGGACACATGTTACTTTTCATTGTTGGTTTCTTCTTTGTCTCTCCTTCATCGCTCGTCTCCACTCTTTCGCCCAGGACTGTCGGGACGACGATCCCATGATCCGAGGCTTGGCACTGCGCTCCCTGTGCAGCTTGGACGTTTAGCGGCACCGGTGAAGAAACGCCGGTGGAAGAGTTGGTGGATGTCCGAGAGAAAAGTACAGCTTCAAAGGGGTGTCCGGTCTGGAGATCCCGGATGGTAGTGTAGGGGCTTCCATTGGTGACCCCTTTGAAGGTGCTGGAGTACGACAATTGATGTGGAAGTTTCAGTGTTGTCTTCGTTAGATGGTGTTTAGTGGATTAAGAAACCGGACTGGATGTTTCTGGTGAGTCCTCAAACACAAATCTTTGGGACACATGTTTGTTTGTCCATGGGGGGGGACTACTAAACCACAGCATGAGCACTGGATGGAGATGGTTTCATCCGCTTCAAAAGGTATTCACGGGCATCAAATGGCAGCGGTTCATGGCTTGTGCAGAGGCTACAACCCGTTTGACCCGTGTTTTGACAGGAACACATACCAGATTTGGTGCGTTTGGTGGTGCAAGATAGAGGTCACGCACGGTCACGCAGGTTTCCCCTATATTTATGAGCTGTCTGAGTTGTATAGTCTTCAATCCAGGAAGCCCATTCGGGAACGAACTGACTCAAGTAGTCCTGACTTGTCCGCCGTGGAGTGCCGCCGTTCTTGGTGCCGTGATCCAAGGCTCCTTGAGCTTAGCCAACATGGTTGAGTGCCCCGGTGTGTTGGTCACATGCTCGTCCCGGTCGCTGGCGGAAGGAAACGTCCACCGTCGGTTCAAGGACTCAAAAAGGCTCAAGGCATTGGAAGCCTTGTAGTTCTCTCCTAGTTCAGATGCTTCAGTTCGCCCCAGCTTTGAAGTAGGTTATAAGCTGTCGAACTCAAAGCAGGTCAGACTCAGCTGTTCACTGCCATCCCATCTTCTCCGGATGTCACTGGTTCATCCGTAAGAGGTATCTCCAGCCCGCGGTGCAGCGTGCCTTAGAGGACACCGGTTGGAAGCACGTTGGTTTTCATCAAACGGACGCCAACTTGGTGCAGTTCAACAGCAGCAACTAGAAACACTCTGAAGGAGTCACCAACAGCAGCAACAGCAACAGTATGTCGAGCACCTTCATGTCGAGGTCACCTGGCTCTTCCAGCCCCAGCCCACTAAGGGACCTCCCCAGACAGGACACCGCTTGAAGGTCCTGGTAGATGTATGTCACACGTTGTGATCACTTTGTGACCTCGCCAGGGGTGCCGCGCGCGCGGGGACTGTCCCGAGGGGATCCGACGGGGGATCCGGATCCAGGATGTCAATGGCTATGTTCGGAAAACCGCGGTCATAGGGGTTTCGGCCTAAGTGTTCTGCTGAATTTCCGCACGATAGTGTACGGCAAAGTGCAGCAGAGAGAGAGAGAGAGTACACTGTCAGCCACTCTTGCCGCACTTGCTAAGGTGGTGAAGATTTTCTATATCAACCCATCAGTAGCTGCTTGTCTGCACTTTCAGGCGAAGCTAAGGTGTGACACATGTCCGTCCATTTCATGACCATTCCTGACAAACGGTGCTTTCTGAAAACGGTAAAAACCATGGAAACGGCGTGCGTATCACGCGTTTCACGTTCAGACTGTTCATGTCAACAGACCGTTCGATGTCTCAACCTCCAGGTGACCGAGACAGAGCTGTTGCCGTCTCTGAAGCGGCTCCGAGACGCAAGGGACACCGGGAGACGAGCCGGGCGAGACGGAGGGTCTGGGGTCGGTCTTGGAGACTCAGGGCGAAGGCTTTGAACAGGTGGTGGGAGAGTCCGTGTGTTTCTCGTTGGGGCAATTGAAGTGTCAAACAAAGAAGACCAACAAAAACACTAATATACAAAATCTCTTTAAATCTTAAGTGTCCGGCGCTTTTCCCAGCCCTTTTTAACGCTTTTTCGGCTTCGTCTCCCAGGCTGGTGAATGATAACGATGCGCACGTGGTGTCCAACACCATCTCTGCACTGGAGGAGGTGATGTGTTCAGTGTTCAGTTGGTGATCTCCAGGGTCTTCGCAATTGTTCAGTACCAAGTCAACCAGTCATCCCTTGTGGAACAAGTACAGGATGAAAGCATGGAAAGCATGGGACAACAGTACCAAGATCTGACCAAGAATGGAGTAACAATCAGATCTTGGTCGGCATCTTGGTCAGGTCCTTGCCAGTGAGGGCGGATACATGCCAAGCGAGGAAGTGGTGTGGCTGGCATCCTTCTGATGTTGACATGTTGAAGTGTACGCCTGCCGAACATTTAACAATGGAGTTTCTAAACTGCATTCCCAAGTATTGGAAACTTTGACCAAGCTCCAAAGCCTTGGAGCACTTTTTCAAGTGATCTGAGTGTTGGAACCCCTAGATCAGATATGCAAGCTGCACCTCTTTCGGGGCCAGATCACCGCCCTGCTCAATCGCATCATGCATTTCTCCGAGTGGGGTCAGTGTGCCATTTTGCGGCTGCTGACCAAGTGCCCCACGCGCGGCGTGGGCCGCGCTCCCTCCGTCCCATGCTGGACTCAAAGCGCCGGAGCGGAGCCGAAGCCGCCGTCAAATCGACAAGAAGAGCTCATCCAAAGGCAGACATCAGTTGAAGCAGACAGATGTCATCCAAATACAACAACAATTCAACTAAATACAGCTATATGTTTGAAGAAATGTTCTTCATCCAAATACAGCTATATGTTTGAAGAACCGAATTGAGTGAAGACTTGCATCACGACTCGGGTGCCGGACTGTGACGAGGTCGCTGTTGGCGAGCCCCGAAACGAGGCATATATGTGTTGCTTAAAGCATCGAGTCGAAGTAGTCGGAACGACCAGGTATAGTGTTGCCAACGAAGGAGAGATGTTCGATATCATGAACATCTTAGACGGCGAGGGGCTCAGAAAGCAGACCGAGACTCGACCCGTTCGCGAGGCACGAAGTAGTCGCGAGAACGAACCCGGACGCGACGAGCTCGAACGCATCGCGTAGCGAACGGTCACATGGTAGGGCTGTGCGTTCGTCGGCCGGTGACGGTTCAGACCGTGGGTTCTCACGTGGTCTGGGAAGGTCGTGGATGTGTATGACGTTCTGACTGCCTTAATTGATCCCTATATAAGATTAGCTTTGCCACGGGTGCGATGGTTTAAATGGAATGGTTTGAACACGCTTCTTTTTAAGTGTTTGATAGGTGAAAGCAGAGAAACTCATCATTTAAGTTTGGACTCAACATGCTTTCTTTTGATGCCCCCCTCAATGCAAAAACCCACCAACGTGACTTCACTCGTGACGCCCAGACTTGCTGAAGCAGTCGAGTAGCGCGGTGGTTTTGTCAGTGACCAAGGCTGGAGTTGGTCGAAGTTTGTCTAAACCCAGTTGGGGTGGTTTGAGGGGTCAATGGGGCGGCATATATGGCAGTCCCATGGAGTGTCTGGGAAAGAGGTTTCGAACGAAAAAGCGGGTCGACTGTGATGAACTCATGGTGGATCAGCTTCTTTCACTTGAACTGACCCTTTTTCATGGTTCTCAAGAAGGCGCCGCTTTTTCCCCTCACTGTCAATGACAGAGTTGTTCTACTGGAAGGATGCATGTATAGACACCCCCCTCGCTCGCAACCACATGATGGGCCCCGTCCGCTCGTCCCAATCCAGTCGACCAGTCATGCCGTTTTCTTCATCGCTCGGTGTTTAGATTCGACCACCTGTGACTATCCCAGACACGACCCGTCTGGGACTGCCAGTTTGGACTGCCGCCCTAGCCAGACCCCCTCTGGCACCACCCCTGGCTGTGAAACTCGGCAGTCCCAGACAGGTTGTGTCTGGGTTGGTCTAATTAGACCAACTCCGACAGTCGCCTGTCGACCGACCGTGACCGGGCGCCTGTCGACCACGGCCCGCGCAGATCTTCGTGGACCTCACGAGCAACCGGCCGGACATCCAGCAGGACGTGCTTCAGAGACTGAAGGCGAAGACGACCGGAGAGGAAGAGAGCGTGAGAGCGCGGACATGCGGAGAGCGCGGATTCGGGAGGATTCGTTCGAGAACGGCCCAGAGCTGACGTTACGAACAACAAAAAAAACAAAAAAACACAAAAAAACTTAAAAAACAAAATCACAACTCACAAGTTGTGTAGAAGTTGTGTAGAAGTGGAACAACATGATGGCAAGAAGCCGTCGTAGGAGCGGCTTCGCTCCGCGCACGCGAATACTCGCTGGCAGGGCCCATTGCTGACCCTGATGGCTGCTGCCAGCACGGAGCTTGCATATACTGTTTGGGGCGCCAAGCATGTGAGTCGCACGTGAGTCACCAAAATCCTTCAATCTCGTCGCCGCCTACGTGTTTAACTGAGTTGTTTGCAAGATCACCTCCTTCCTTCACCAAGAGAACGATACACTTCATGCAGTTGGCTTCAGCGTCGTGTGTCGTGTGGGGAAACCGAATTCTTCAGACCGACCGACCTCGTGAGATGCGTTGCGCACCTCGCGGCGCGAGCCCGCGAGGTCTTGGTCCACATCCATGCCCTCCTGGGTCGAGGGCCCCGCACAGTGGAAGCCCAGCACTTGGTGCATGTGTGAACGATTGGCGACACGAAGTGAGATCGGGTGGAGAAGTGGAGCGCGTTGCATGAAGAGGATCGTTAAAGAAGAGATGTTCATCCGGAAGATGGAAGAACACAGGATAAAATATGGGAAATTACATGAAGTGATGTTTTTTTGGAGCAGATGGATGAAAATGAGGAACGTCCTATGCAATGTAAATCTTCACCCCATGCTTTGCAAGTTGAGCTTTTCCATTCTCCAGTTGAACCATGCGAAGGAATTGTTCAAGGGTGTTGTTTGTCAACCTGTTGCTGTCAGTGAGGTGGGCTCTAACCACCTCTTGGTCCGTGAAGCCGCAAGTGCAACTCTTCCTGCGCTCCGCGCTCGCGCTCCGCGCTCGCGTCCTCCGGTGTCGCCATGGCATCCATCACCCGAGAGGAAGTTCAGAAGCACAACAAGGCGGATGATGCCTGGATCATCGTTGACGGAGACGTGTCACCTGGCGTAGTTTGGCAGAGAGACGGACACGGCCGCGTGTTCGCAAGGGTTTCCGCTTCTTCGAAGCGGAAGACCTACCCCACTGAAAACGAACCTGAAAACCATTGGTTTGTAGAGGAAAACAGTCTTTCAGGGTGCCATTCTCAGGGTCTATGTGAGTTTTCAGGAGTGTAAGTCTATATTGCATGGTATAGGGACTCAATCCACGCGTCGTTCAGACCGCTTCGGGGGAGGGGGGCGGACCACCGGGTCGCTGCAGGTATGACGTGACGAAGTTTGCAGGGGTCCACCCCGGCGGCACGCAGATCCTCTTGGAGTACGCTGGAAAGGATGCCACTGAGGACTTCTATGCCTTGCACAGGCGACCCATCGGAGTTGTTCGGGCCCGGGGGAGATCTGGCGACGCCGGTTGGTCGATGCGGTTCCAACGGAGACGAACCGACCGCCCTCGTCGTTCGAACGGCGCGGTCGTTTCGTGCCCCGCGGGTCAGGATCGGACTCGATCGGATCGGATCGCGCTGTGAGGCTGGAAGTGCTGGACAAGTACCAGCGCTTGAAGAAGGGTCGTCTCGCAGATGCCAAGGGCCCACCACCCAAGAAGGCCAGGCATCGATGCGGTCTTTTGTTGGAGGAGTTGGACGGCGGCATTTCGGCAAGGAATCGAAACGGACTTTGGGAGTCCGTGACGATGGCGCCCAAACACCGGTTCCACCCTCCAGAGTTGCTTCAACATCGTCACATCGTTTCCCTAACTCGGTCCCCCCCCTCCGAGGCCGCCGAGGTGATGCAGGAGTTCAGCAAAGTGCCCTTCGCGGAGCCGACGTGGCTCGGACCGAGCAGCTTCTGGGCCTGGGAACAAGTGCATCGCTACTAGTAACAAGAAGCTAGTAGGAACAAGTGCATCGCTAGTAGTAACAAGTGCCTTACTAGTAGTAACAAGAAGCTAGTAGGAA